ATGTGGTATCGTGATTCCTCCAACTTTGTTCTTCTTTCTCAGGATTGTTGCGGCTATTCGGTTGTTTGTTCTTTTTATTTCTTTTATTCCATATGAATTTTTGGGGAGTTTGTTCTAGGTCTTTGAAATATGCCGTTGTTATCTTAATGGGGATTGCATTGAACCTATAGATCGCTAGGTGTTAATTTTGTATCCTGCTACATTGCTGAATGTACTTATTATATTTAATAGTTTTTTGACAGAATCCTTAGCGTTTTTCTATGTACTATATCATATCATCTGCGAATAATGACAGTTTTACTTCTTCTTTTCCAATTTGGATGCCTTTCATTTCCTCTTCTTGTCTGATCGCTATGGCTAGCACTTGCAGTATTATATCAAACAGGAGTGGTGAAAGTGGGCATCCTGTCTTGTTCCTGTTCTTAGGGAAAATGGTTTTAGTTTTTCCCCATTGAATATGGTTTTGGCTGTAGGTTTGTCATATAAGGATTTTTTTTATTTTATTTTGAGGTATGATCCCTGTACTCCTCACTTTGCTGAGTTTTTATAAAGAAAGGGTGTTGGATTTTGTAAAATGTTTTTTCTGCATCAATTGATATGATTATGTGATTTTTGGTTTTCAGTTTGTTTATGTGATGTATCATGTTTATTGATTTGCAGGTATTGTACCATCCTTGCTTCTCCGGAATAAATCCCACTTGGTCATGGAGTATGACCTTTCTAATGTAATGCTGGGGTCGATTAGCCAGAATTTTGTTGAGGATTTTAGCATCTATCGGGGCCATCACAACCTAGTGGTATGTCCCAGCATAGGTATAATGACCGCTGCGAGAACCTCTCTCTGGGAGAAAGCCGCCCTCGAGTACCTGCCCTGATGCCAGTCAGTCCAGTTTCTCCTGGTTTGTGTCTTCATCCGCTCCTCCCCCACAGGCCTTCCAGGCCCAGGAGGGTCAGATGAAGCGGGAGCTTGTAACTTCAGTTGGTGGTGCGGACATTATAAGAGGAGAAGCTGGGTCTCCTGTAGCCTCTTTGTCCCTGAGCCCCAATCCGCACTGGTTTTTACAACCCATAGTTCTTCCTGCCAGTTCTTACTGGTAGGCACTTCTTTTGCCAGCTCTGGGAGTCTGGGCTGGGAGTCTGGTGTGGCACTGGGAACCTTTGCTCCTCCAGGCGACCTCAGTAGTGACGATCTCCCTCCCAATTAGAAAAGTGGCCCAAATGGGTCCAGGACCAGCACCTTCTGAGCCTCTTTACCTCCTACCAGTCTCAGTGTGCTTTCTTCTTTACTTCTCTAGTGGTAAGACTTCCATTCAGCCAGCTTTCCAGCAGTTCTTGCTGATGGTTCTGTATTTTGGTTATAAGTTTGATGTGGTTGTGGGAAGCAGCGAGTATAGGCTGTTGCCTACACCACCATCTTGGGTCTCCTCTCCTGTAGCTTTTCTGAAATAAATACTTTTAAAAATATATATATATTATTGATTTTTTTTTTTACAGAGAGGAAGGGAGAGGGATAGAGAGTTAGAAACATCGATGGGAGAGAAACATCGAACAGCTGCCTCCTGCACACCCCCTACTGGGGATTTGCCCGCAACCAAGGTACATGCCCTTGACTGGAATCGAACCTGAGACCTTTCAGTCCGCAGGCCGACGCCCTATCCACTGAGCAAAACCAGTCAGGGCTGAAGTCAATTCTTAATTTTTCTTTTAGGTTCACCTGAATAGTGATTTTCCATTAATTTTTTTTTTTCTAGAGAGGAAGAGAAAGGGCGAGGCAAAGAGAATGAGAGAGAGAGGGAGACATCTACTGGTTGCATCCCAATGTGTCCCCACAAAGGGGGGATTGAACCTGAAACCCACGTGCCTGCCCCTTACTAGCAATTGAACCCATGACCTTCCAGGGTACAGGCGGGCACTCTCAGCACTGAGCGAAATGGGCCAGGGTTGTTTCTTTATTCTTTTTTAAAAAATATATATATTTTATTGATTTTTTACAGAGAGGAATAGAGAGTTAGAAACATCGATGAGAGAGAAACATTGATCAGCTGCCTCCTGCATACCCCCTACTGAGGATGTGCCCACAACCAAGGTACATGCCCTTGACCAGAATCGAACCTGGGACCCTTTAGTCCGCAGACCGACGCTCCATCCACTGAGCCAAACTGGTCAGGGCTATTTATTCTTTAAATTATTTATTTACTTATTTTTAAAAGTTATTTGATTGATTCAAAGAGGAAGAGAAGGAGGGCAATTGAAACCTGAGTAATGACAGAGACTCATTGATCAGCTGCTTCCTGCACACTGGAGATTGAGTTGGCAACCTGTGCATGTCCCCTAACAAGAAATAGAATTTTTGTCTCCTAGGTAATGGGTTGATACGTAATCACTGAACTGCGCTGCACAGCTTTTATGTATTGATTTCGAGACAGGAAGGGAAACAGAGAAAGAGAGGGAAACTGATCTGCTGTTTTACCCATCTAAGCATTTATTGGCTGTCCCCTACATGTGCCCCAGAAAACCCACAGCCGTGGTGCATCGGGACCACACACTCAACAAGAGAGCTACATGGCCAGGGCTCTGAATTTGTTTATTAATTTCAGAAGCTCATATGGGATCTTGACAGATTTCTCTATGGAGGGTCATGTCGTCTCCTAACATCAGCATCTCTTATGATGCTTTGTGGTTCATAGTGTCAGGTATAATGTCTTACTTTTCATTTCTTTATTCATTTATTGGAGGCTTGTTTTTGTTTTTTGCTTTTTTCTAGCTTAAGTATTGCCAATTTTTGTATGTTTTAGAAAAGTACCTGTTAGTATTCTTTTATTTTTTCTTATCTCCCTTTTATTGATGCTTTTTCAAAAAGTCATTGTTTAAGGAAACAATAACTTTGCAACCTTTGGATTTACTTTCTTATTTTGAGCCTATATTCCTGAGATGGCAGGTCAGTTTTTTTCGGATCTATTTTTATAATGTGCATTTATCCCTATAAAGTTTCTTCTTAGAAATGCGTTTTACGAATTTTATACATGATTAGTAATAGGTAGTCTTTTTATTTACTTTTCCTCTAGACATTTTTGAGTTCTGTCTTTTGTTTGGCTACCTTGACATTATTTTCTATTTATTTATTACTGGTTTCAGATAGAGTGGAGAGATGGAGAGAGAGAGAGAGAGAGAGAGAGAGAGAGAGAGAGAAACGTCAGTGTGAGGAGAAACATCAGTTGGCTCCCTCCTGCACACAAGTTAACTGGAAATGTAACCCACATACTGATATGTGCCTTGACTTGGGAATTGAATCCTGGACCCTTTAGTACACAGGACGATGCTCCAACCAACTAAGCCATACTGGCCAAGGCATTCTGTGGTTCTTAAATACAAAAATTTCCAGTATTATTTGAAGAATAGGCCACTATGGTCAGTGATAACAGAAGCACAGTGGCTGCTGGAGGTAACTCTGACCCTTGTTTTTGACTGTATGTATCTTCAAATATGTTTGTTGACCCAGTCTTTCCAGTCATTCTTTCTGTACAGTCCTACTTTATTTGTGTCTGTAATACTGTTTGTCTTCATGGTCCCCCTTTTTTTTATTTTTTTTACAGAGAGGAAGGGAGAGGGATAGAGAGCCAGAAACATCGATCAGCTGCCTCCTGCACACTCCCCACTGGGAACGTGGCCACAACCAAGGTACATGCCCTTGACTAGAATCGAACCTAGGACCCTTGAGTCCGCAGGCCGACGCTCTATCCACTGAGCCAAACCGGTTAGGGCGATGGTACTCTTATTCCCATTTCCTATGGGGTTTTTGTTCATGGAAAGCTGTCTACTTACACTGGGAAGGGGGAAGAAGCTCATATCTCTGATCCTTCCATCTTGCTGATGTCACTCACATAGGTCTTTTGACTGTGATCTCATTTGTCCTTTGTTGTTCTACCACAGTATTGACCCTCAATGTCCTTTGCATCATTTATCCCAAGCAATGCCTCAAATGGGATTGAAGGGGAAGAATCATTTGTGCATCACAGAAGAAACATGACTTTATGAATGACACAGTGGACCCCCCGGCGGTCTTTCTTTGGAGAAGGGTCATTGGGGAGGAATTCAGGACAGACCTTTGTTACATTCATAGCTAGAAAGCCAGTGTTTTGTTACAGTTGCCCATTCCTCACCCAGTTTTGCTTCTTTGTGCTTATTGTTGATACTTTGCCAACTATTCAGTTCTAATTGTGATCATTTCCACTTAGATTCCCAGCTTAGGGATAGCTTTAACCTTTCTAGACTTTGCACCTCTCCTACTTTCACAGGTCTCTCTTTACTGCAAGCCAATGTTGATCCATACCTGCAGCACCTTGGAGAGCACACATGTTATTTTACTGAACTTTTATATCCTGTGATCCAATACAATTAATTTTTATGTATAAGAGCAATTTTCTCACTGTTTAACTCGCTCATCTTGAAAATCTTTCTATGGAATCATGCCTAGTCAAGACAGATAAACATCCGTGGTGAAGATATTCTGTTTTTATCAGGTCAACATGCACTTCACCTACATTTCTTTTGTTCAGGTTGCTGCTGTGGAGCAGAGATTGTGGAGGCATCAACAAAACAGAAGGTTTCTGTTGGACTGTCACAGGCAAGGAATCCCAAGTTAGCCTTGTCTTCCCAGAAGAGCCACCCCTGTGAGAGTTGTGGGCTAGTCTTGGGAAACATTTTTCACGTGCTGGAGCTACAGGGAACACAACACGGACAGATACAGTTGAGGTGTGGAGCATGTGCAAAACAGTTTTACTTCACTGTAAAATTTCACCAGCAGCATGTGAGAGAGAAGACTCTCATTAGAGGTGTGGACAGGATCTCACTTGCAAACAGCTGCAATTTCAATGTGTCCCAGAATCGTTTCACTTGCGGGGAGGTTGGGCAGGGTGTCCTTACCGAATCAGGACATCTCCACCGAAAGGCTACTCCGATCAGGGACAGTCCAAATGCTATTTCCACACCTGGGATGATGTTTCAAAGGAGAGAAATTTGTTACACCAGAAAAGAATGGAAGAAAGACATTAGTTGCACCGACAGGTTTATTCAGGAAAAAGGGTGTTAGAAGTCGATGTTTTGTGTGCTCTGAATGTGGGAAATCTTTTACAAGTAACTCTTACCTTCATTATCATCAGAGAGTTCACACAGGAGAAAAGCCTTATAAAGGCAGTGAATGTGGAAAGTCTTTTATAAGGAGCACTTGTCTCCAATATCATCAGAGTGTTCACACTAGAGAAAAGCCTTATCAATGCAGTGAATGTAGAAAAACTTTTACCACTAAAACCAACCTTCGTAGTCATCAGAGTGTTCACACAGGAGAAAAGGCTTATCAATGTAGTGAATGTGGGAAGAATTTTACCAATAACAGCTGCCTTCGTCGTCATAGGAGCGTTCACACTGGAGAAAAGCCTTATCAATGTAATGAATGTGGGAAGAATTTTACCAATAACAGCCACCTTCGTCGTCATCGGAGCGTTCACACTGGAGAAAAGCCTTATCAATGTAGTGAATGTGGGAAGAATTTTACCAATAACAGCCACCTTCGTCGTCATTGGACTGTTCACACTGGAGAAAAGCCTTACCAATGCAGTGAATGTGGGAAAACTTTTACCACTATAACTAGACTTAGTAGACATCAGAGAGTTCATACTGGAGAAAAGCCTTATCAATGCAGTGAATGTGGGAAAACTTTTACCACTATAACTAAACTTCGTAGACATCAGAGAGTTCATACTGGAGAAAAGCCTTATCAATGCAGTGAATGTGGGAAAACTCTTACCACTAAAACCATCCTTCTTAGTCATCAGAGAGTTCACACAGGAGAAAAGGCTTATCAATGTAGTGAATGTGGGAAGAATTTTACCACTAACGGCAACCTTTGTCGTCATCGGAGCATTCACACTGGAGAAAAGCCTTATAAATGCAGTGAATGTGGAAAGTTTTTTACCCAGAGATATTCCCTTCGTTGTCATCAGAGAATTCATACAGGAGAAAGGCCTTATAAATGCAGTGAATGTGGGAAATCTTTTACCCAGAGCACTCCCCTTCGTTGTCATCAGCGAGTTCACACTGGAGAAAGGCGTTATGAGTGCAATTAATCTGAGGTATCTCTCAGCCAAATTTCTAAATTTGTTCCCTGCATAAGAGTACAAATGTGAGAAATTTGTTAGATGTGTAGGAAATGTAGTTTCTTAGTTCGGACTTAACAATAGTACAAGAAAATTTGTAAATCCTCAGTTTTCTGAATTGTATCTCATACATTTAATCACCTATATTATGCAGAGTTCCGATAAGTGTTTTTGCTGTTGTGTGTGTGTGTTTTTATGTTGAAACACTATGTAATTATGTTACACTTTCTAACATACAGAGAGATGTTGCCAGATCTATGTCACTGCATATTTCTGTTGCTGCAGGTATTTCACCTGAACCACCTATAAGGACCCTACAGATGGCCACAATCACCATCCTCATGTGCCCAGGGAAGCTAACTCTGTTGTCTAATTTGTTGAAGAAAATTAGGAATACCTGAGCCCTTAGTTCTCCCTTGTTTCCCTGTCATGAGTTGCCACATAGGACTGATTACTGTTGGTGCACCAGTTTTTTAACAGCTGTAATGAGTAAATTACATGCGTTAAGTATAGTGTTTCATAAATCTTACACTGACCTGACAAGCTCAGGGAAGGCCTGCGTGGCAGCCTAGCAGACTCAGAGACCTAAAATAACCACAAAAGATGGTCTGAAATTAAACTTTAACTAAAAGCAGTTATGGTGGGCAATTATGTCCTAAGCCAGTATCTTCACTGACAAGATCAACTTTGATCCTTACTGAGCCCATTTGCCTTTTTGCCTCTAAGATAACATTCCCTTGAAATGTCTGGGTAACTTGTAACTTCCCTTATTCTGGAGCCCCTGGAGCACAACCAAATGCTCTGGGCGCCAGGACAGATACTACAAATTCCTTCATTACCATGTTAATTGATCCTGCACCCACCTAAGTATGTGTCCATCATTTTACTTTTTATCCTATCTCAGAGGTTTCCCCGCTTCACTTAATCCCACCTCCTTAAATCTGTCACCAATGAATTTCATGTATAAATACGGATGTAACCCTGCCATTCCCCGGAGCACTATCTCAATTCATTGAGGTTCTGCTTCTCGGCATATGTCGACAGTTTGGCTCAAATAAACTCACAAAAATTCTTTAAATAAATAAATAAATAAATAAATAAATCTTGACATGTGCATGAAACTGAAACCACCATTACACTTATGATATTGACCACATTGCTCACTTTGTAGTTGCTTCAGGACCTTGTTTAATCTGTGCCTGTTCTTCACAGCTGTTCTAGTAACCATGGATTTCCATTCCATTTTAATAGAGATCTTAGCTTTTTTCTAAGTATTTTTCTTGTTTAATTTATATTTCATAAATTCTTGGAGGTTTATTAAACTTATACTAGTAACTTGCCCTAACCAGTTTGGTTCAGTGGATAGAGCATCGGCCTGCGGACTGAAAGGTGCCAGGTTTGATTCTGGTCAAGGGCATGTACCTTGGTTGTTGGCACATACCCAGTAGGGAGTGTGCAGGAGGCAGCTGATCAATGTTTCTCTCTCATTGATGTTTCTAACTCTATCCCTTTCCCTTCCTCTCTGTAAAAAATCAATAAAATACATTTAAGAAAGATATATTAGTAACTCATCTTTTTTTAAAAATTTATCTTTATTGTTCAGATTATTACAGTTGCTCCCCTTTTTTTCCCCCCCATAGCTCCCCTCCACCCATTTCCCACCCCACCCTCTGCCCTAGCCCCCCCCAACTGTCCCTGTGTTCGGCCTCACAGGGGCCATTGCAGCCTCGCAGGGATTGTTGCAGCCTCAGAGGGACCATCGCAGCCTCACAGGGGCTGTCTCAGCCTCGCAGGGGTTGTCGCAGCCTCACAGGGGGCGCCACATCCTACGTTGGGAGTGAAGGTGCGAGACAGAAGCTCCTCTCGCTATCTCTCCTGCTCCCTTTCGTATCGCCGATGCTGGAAGTTCCTGAGAGCAGTCTGCAGGTGCTGGACATCATACTTTAACTGGTCAACACGAAGTTTGGCATTCTGTCTTTTGTTGGGCGGCTCCTGGCTGGACAAAATCTCCAGGCGTTCTTGATGGCTGAATATCTGGTTGCTTGCTTGGATTTCGTTTTCTACTAAGTGCACAGACTGCTTGTCTGCCGTCTCCCTGATCTGGGAGACTGGATCTGGTGGACCTGTTTGTGCGTTTGCTGGTACAGCGGTTCCATGTTGCCAGCCCAACCTGGTCCATTTCCGGATTCCTCCAAACCTGATTCTGCTTCTTGAGTGTGTCCCTTATGGGTGCGAGGAGTTGAGTTCTGCAGTTTGTCGGGTTAAGCTGAAAAAGCGCAGGTGGTTCCTTTTGTGCCTCTGGCACAGCTTGGGCGGTGATGTAAATTGAGTAGGGCGGGGTCGCAGGGAATCACCAGGGCGGAGCAAACAGCAATGGCGTCTCCGCGACTCCTTGCCACTCCGGGTCTCTGCGTCCCCAAGTACCAGCGAGCAGCTCCGCGAGAAAGCCGCCCTTACTTTCCAACCCGCTGCAAGGCTGTCCCGCCTCTCCCCGTAGGGGTCTGGGACCTCAGAAACCCACCCAAACAAGCTCAGTGGATTTGAGAGTTTGTAACCCCTTCTGATTGAAAAAAACCGCCCATCCAGTTGCAGCCCACCTGGCACGCGACTTCGTACCTCTGTTCTTGGTGCCTCTGCATATCCTACTCAGTCTCAATGCTCTTCTTTCTTTCCTTCCAGTTGTAGAACTTTCACTGGGCCAGCTTTCCTATGGTTCTGAGTGAGAACTGTTTTGTCTTATAGTTGGTATTTTCAATGTTGTTGTGGGAGGCAGCACGCACAGGTCTGTACCTTACACCGCTATCTTGGTTCCCTCTCATCTTTTTTTTATAATTCTTTATCTCTTATTTTTTTTAAATTAAATCTTTATTGTTCAAATTATTACAGTTGTTCCTCTTTTTCCCCCAGAGCTCCCCTCCACCCGGTTGCCACCCCACCTTCCACCTTCACCCCCCCCCCCCACTGTCTTCATCCATAGGTGCACGATTTTTGTTCAGTCTCTTCCCGCATACCCCACACCCCTTTCCCCCCCAAGAATAGTCAGTCCACTCCCGTTCTATGCCCCTGATTCTAATCTAATCACCAGTTTATTCTGTTCATCAGATAATTTATTCACTTGATTTTCAGATTCACTTGTTGAGTGAGAAAGCCACTTGTTGAAGAAAGATTCACTTGTTGATAGATGTGTATTTATTGGTTATAATTTGTATCTTTACCTTTTTCTTCTTCCTCTTCTTAAAGGATACCTTTCAGCATTTCATATAATACTGGTTTGGTGGTGATGAACTCCTTTAGCTTTTCCTTATCTGTGAAGCTCTTTATCTGACCTTCAATTCTGAATGATAACTTTACTGGATAAAGTAATCTTGGTTGTAGGCTCTTGACATTCATCCCTTTGAATATTTCTTGTCACTCCCTTCTGGCCTGCAAAGTTTCTGTTGAGAAATCAGCTGACAGTCGTATGGGTACTCCCTTGTAGGTAACTGAGTTTCTTTCTCTTGCTGCTTTAAGATTCTCTCTTTGTCTTTTGCTCTTGGCATTTTAATTACGATGTGTCTTGGTGTGGTCCTCTTTGTATTCCTTTTGTTTGGGGTTCTCTGCGCTTCCTGGACTTGTAAGTCTATTTCTTTCACCAGGTAGGGGAAGTTTTCTGTCATTATTTCTTCAAAGAGGTTTTCAGTATCTTGCTCTCTCTCTCCTTCTGGCACCCCTATAATTCTGATGTTGGTACGCTTGAAGCTGTCCCAGAGGTTCCTTACACTATCTTCGTATTTTTGGATTGTGTTTTCATTTTGCTTTTCCGGTTGGGTGTTTTTTGCTTTTTCGCATTTCAAATCTTTGACTTGATTCTTGCAATCCTCTAGTCTGCTGTTGGGGTCTGTATAATATTCTTTTCTTTTTTTAAAATATATTTTATTGATTTTTCACAGAGAGGAAGGGAGAGGGATAGAGATCCAGAAACATCGATGAGAGAGAAACATCGATTAGCTGCCTCCTGCACACCTCCCACTGGGAATGTGCCCGCAACCAAGGTACATGCCCTTGGCCGGAATCGAACCTGGGACTCCTGAGTCTGCAGGCCAACGCTCTATCCACTGAGAAAAACCGGCCAGGGCATATAATATTCTTTATTTCAGTCAGTGTATACTTAATTTCTCATTGGTCCTTTATCACAACCTCGAGGGTCTCACTAGATTTCTTGAGGTTCTCACTAAGTTTATCGGCGGTTTCTAGAAAATTCTTGAAAAACCTTAAAAGTGTGGTTTTGAACTCTATATCCAGTAGTTTGTTTTCCTCCATTTCTGTCATTTGTGTCCTGTTTCTTTGTCTCCATACTTTTTATGCTTCACTGTGTTGATAGAGTGGCTTTCTGAGCTAGGTGTCCTATAGGGCCCAGTGGCTCAGCCTCCCCAATTACCTGAGGTAGACACTCTTGGTGCACCCCCTTGTGGAATTTGTGCACAGTCTTGTTGTAGTTAAGCCTTGATTATTGTAGGTAACACTGGGAGGGATTGACCTCCAGGCCAATTGGCTGTGAGAATCAGCTGTGTCTGCAGTGGGAGAACATCTGTGCTGGAGACACCCCTCCAGGGCAAGACTTGCTTCAGTGGGACTTTGGTGCTCACTCCGTCTGTCCCCTGAGTGTGTCCTTTATGGATCCAAGGAGCTGCAATCTGGATGGACCCACTCTGACCACTGGGCACACTGGCTCCTGGTTCTTTAAGGAGGTGTTAATTTAGCCTTTGCCTGAGGCTACCCAGTAGGAGCCAGCTGTGAAGCAATGCAAGTTGCCCTGGGGCCTTGGGCCAGCTGCAAGATTTGTTAGGTAATTTTCAGATTGCAAAGAGCCAGGCCTTTCATATGCAAAAGCTTCCGTGCATGGCTGGTGCGGGGTGGGGTCCCAGGGGATCTACAGGGCGGAGTGAGCAGTTATGGCTGCTCTCAGTCCTGCCCTCAGAGTCCCTGCTTCTCAGTGTCCCGGCAATCGCTGCAAGCACCTCCGAGAGAAAGCTGCCCTCGAGACCCGACTGATGCCAGACATCCAGTTTCTCCTGTATGAGTTTGGGTCCCCAGAGACTCGCCCAGAACTGGAGCCCAGACCTAGAGACTCCATTCTGATTGAAAAAGACAACCATGTCCTCAGGTGCCAGCCCTCTCCGTATGTGCCTCCGTACCTCTGTACTTTACTTCTGCACCATACCTCCTCTGAGTCTCAGTGTGCTTTTCTCTTTCCTTCTAGTTGTAGAATTTCCACTCAGCCAGCATTCCTGTGGTTCTGGATGATGTCCGTTCCATCTCTTAGTTGTATTTTTGAAGTGGTTGTTCAAGGCAGCAATCTCCAGTGTTTACCTCTGCCACCATCTTGGTTTCTCCTCTCTCTCTCTTTTTTTTTTATATTCTTTTTTTTGTTTTTGTTAATGCTCACCAAGATTTTTTCTATTGATTTTTTTTGGAGAGTGGAAGAGAGAGGGAAAGACAAAGAGAAACACCAATGTGTGGGAAACCCATCGATCAGTTGATTCCTGCATCAACCATAACTAGGGCCTCAGGCCGAGAAGGAGTCTTCAACCAAGATATGTGCCTTAGACCAGAATTGAACCAGGGACCATTTGGTCTGCAGGCCTAAGCTCTATCCATAGCCAAACAGGCTAGGTCTCTGGTAGATATTCTTATCTTTGAATATATTGCCATCATGTCCATTTTAATAAATATTTGGTTATCTACACTAATAAAAGAGAAAAATGGTAATTGGCGTACGGCGCTACCCTTTTCATTGGCTAATCAGGGCTATATGCAAATTAACTGCCAACTAAGATTGGCAGTTAACTGCCAACAAGATGGTGGTTAATTTGCATATGTCGGCACAATGCAGGGAGGCGAAAGGGAAAGCAGGAAGAAGCCCCCTGCCACTGACAGTGATCGGAAA